TGTCACAGCAAGTTTTGATGATTTCCCATTTTTTTTTTACCTATGAAATGAACAGTAATACCACACTGAGGTTGTTTGTGAGGAGGCAAGGGTGGTGAGACTGTCTCACATGTTTTTGGCATGGTTCAGGAGGGCCACTCTCTTGAAAAGGACATCATGCTTGGCCAGCAGGGAGAAGAAAACCCCGAATGAGATGGACAGAACTAGTGACTAGCAGTGTGCACAGGCATAGCAGAGATTGTGAGGATGGTGTGGTCCTGGCGGGGCGTGGCCTGGTATACTCGGGGTCCCTGTGCGCCAGCTCAGTAGCACCCAGAAACAAATAGCCCTATACTGTCACATCATTTCCTGCCCATTTTCTTCATTTTAAGTAAAGTTTTTTTCAGTTGGTCTCTGTGCCAGCTTAGATTTACTGAGTAACCCATCTTCAACCCATTTGGGCACACTGGCATTTTAAAGTCCCCGAAATAACATCTTGCTTGCCTCTTGGACACTGGCATTGTTAGTGACTTTTCCTTTTGGACTGGGACTGCTTCCTGTATGCCTGTCAACTTGACAATTTGCTGTACATAATCAAGTATTTTCTTCCTGTCTTACCCTCTAAATAACGAAAAGGAAAGCTGGTTAATATTGCTAAGTCATATGCCAAAATTTTCATGGTTTTTCAGCTGGCAGTTTAATCCTTTGTTGCTTCTAGCCTCAACGTTCAGGAATGTTCACTTTTTCGCTATCTAGAATGTTCAATGGATGTCCAAGTTTAAACATGTATCTCAGCATGATTGTTAAGCATAGGAAACCTTAAAATGTTTATATGACGAGTTCTATTCAACTGCTTATAAGATTCCTGCTCTTTTTAAGTTTTAAGGTAGAATGGCTTCTTTTTCATGTAACACGGAAATTGATAATACTAGACTTTGATAGTACTTTCAAGATATTCTTAATGATTCTTAATCTTTATTTGAGGTGATGGCCTAGAATATTTTCCCCTAAATGTGATCTTAGCTTAAAATGTGTATTATCATACTAATATATTTATTTAATAGACATCATTCCATACTTTTTAGTGAAAACGCTTCAGATTAGGAAAAGAATTGTAAGGATGGGTCGCAGAACTGGGTGAGAGAGTTCACACTGACAGAATAAAGACCTGTGGATGTTTGAATTCTGTATCAGTGAAAAGTTCTCTAGTTCAGTTCCTTCTTCACAAAGTTTCTGTGATTGGATTGCATGAAAATTCAGTGTGTCTCCATTTCAGCAAGAGATTGGGGAACATCTCTTAGAAAATTCAGAACATATGTATATATCTTCCTATTCATTTATAATATGGGTCAAGAGCGTGGTCTGCTTTGGAGCAGGTTTATAGTGTGGTCATAATATTTTTCTTTTTTAAAAAAAGATGATGTTTAATGTTAAGGAGTCAGAATACAGAAGGGGCTTGATAGTAACAGGCTGATCTTCTAATAAAAAGATACTATGAGACAATTATACTTTATTGTTTTCTCTTTTAACAACTCTATAAACCAGATGGGTTGTAATTAAGAGTATAAAAAAGCAATACAGTTTCTGATCTGTGTTCTAATCTTTAGTACTTTGGGATACTGAGGGGCAGGCAGGATGGGAATAATGTATTCATGGGCCTGGTGCTTTTCTGGATTCCCCCTCTCCCATCTAAGTTCTTTACTTTGATGGAATCATCTAAAGAGACTGTGTATCTGCTAGGCATTTACCTTTCATACTTAAAAGGATAAATTTACCAGCTATGTAACATCAGATAGATAGTTTGGGTCTGTATCTGCCAGTAAGAAACAGACGATGTGCCTAGTAAATAAAATAGTTGAAGTCATTAAAGTTAAGATTTATGTGAAATGGACAACTATATTTAAAAAGTTTATTGTAATGTGCTCAGGAATTATACTGGCTTTTGCATATGGTGAAATAATTATTTTTTGGCACTCAGGCTTATTTCTTATTCATGATTGAATATTTTCTTTAACGTCGTAAAACTTGAAAGATCTAGTTTGCTGTACTTTGATTTTTTTGTTATATACCAAGTCATCATTTCATGTATAGACCCTTTTGCCCCATAAAAATAGGGATTTTTCTCAACCAAAGTAAAGATATAATTTTAGGTAAATTTAATACTGATAAAACACTTTTTTATCTCTACTCTGCATTTATTAGTTGATTAAAAACAATGTTTTTATAAGCATTCCCCCTTCCAATAGATTCTTACCTGTGATCACATACTGCTTTTGTTATTTCTGTTTTATTTCCTATAATCTGAAATATTTATGTAAACATTTTCTATAGGGGTCCTGGGATTATGTGATAAGAGTATGCTTTAAATAGTAATAATAATAATAATAATAGTTTTATTATTAAGCCCCTATTAATAAAAATTAATCTCCATTTTAATCATGCTGTGGGGTAAAAACACCAAATCTTTCTATTTTAAATAACTTCTCAGACTTAATCTGTGACTATTGAATGCTGACCTATCTGAGACACTGGACTACATGAAGAAGAATGTGGTATCAGGGTTGGAGACTCATCAACAACCTGTGTAATGCAGATGACACAACCTTACTTGCAGAAAAAGAAGACTTGAAGCACTTACTAAGAAGATGAATTTTGAAGACTATAACTTTCATTATGGATTACATCTCAGAGTCAAGAAAAATACCACTGAACTAGTAGGCATCATGCTTAGATGGAGAAAGATTGAAGTTGCCAAAGATCTCATTTTACTTGGATCTGCAGTCAACACCCATGATAGCAACAGTCAAGTATTGGTTGGGAAAGTGTGCCATTTAAGTACCTCTTTATAGTGTTAAATAGCAAGGATGTCATTTTAAAGACTAAGATGTGCTTAATTAAAGCCATGACATTTCATTTGCTTCACATGCACCTGAAAGTTGGCCGATGAGTAAGGAGAAGTGAAGAATAATTGATATCTTTGACTTGTGGTGTTTGAGAACAGTATTGAATGGACTGCCATGCGAACAAACAAATCTCCCTTGGAGGAAGTGCATCCAAGGCTGCTCCTGAGTGTCACATGCTTTGGACATATTATCAGTAAGGTACATCCTTGGAAAAAGACTTCATGTCAGTAAAAGAGAGGCTATAGCTCAACATAGTGACTGCGACTATGGGCGTGGCATGTTGGAGATTGTGAGGGTGATGCAGTGTAGGGCAGTGTTCAGATCTGTTATTTATAGGGTCACTGTAATTAGAAGCCTGGAAGCAGGAGTGGCATCCACTTCCGGAATGGCGTGCCTCCGGAAACTGTATGTATGAACAGTGCTCAGGTCTTTCGTTCATAGGGTCGCTGTGAGTCATCTACGACTTGATGGCACCTAACAACAACAACAACATAATTAGGATCAGAGGAAGACTTGGCAAAAACCTGCATTATGCAGATAGCACAGCCTAGCTTATTAAAAGTGATGAGGACACATTTGTTACTGAAGATCAAAGACAACAGCTTTCCATATGGATTTTATCTCAACATCAAGAAAACAGAAATCTCAGCACTGGACTGATACACATGATAGATGGAGAAAAGATTTAAGTTGTCAATAGTTTTATCTTACTTGAATCCACAATCAACAACTTTGGTACTAGCAGTCAGGAATTCAGTAGACATATTGCATTAGGCAAGTCTACTATCAGGGACCTCTCTTATAGTAAAGTGTGTCTGTTTCAGGCCATGATCTTCTCAGTCACTAGCTATGCATCTGAAAACTGGACAGTGAAGAAGGATGACAGAATAAGAATTGATGCCTTTGAGCTGAGGTGTTGGAGAAGAGTGCTAGATATCTCATGGACTGCAAAGAACAAATATGTTTTGGAGAAAGGGCAGCTAAATGCTCCTTGGAGACAAGGATGACAAACCTTTGTCTCACGTATGTTGGACATGTTGCTAGGACAGGTTATTCCTTGGAGAGGGACATCATGCTTGGAAAGATGGAGAGTCTACAGAGGAGAAGGTGGTCCTGGAAGAGATAGATTGACACTGACCTCAGAAGCAGTGGGCTCAAGAGTGTCAGAGATAAGGAAGGATAATGAATGGGATAGGACAAGGTTCAGACCTGTTGCTCACAGAGTCACTCTGAATTACACTCAATTTGACAGCACCTAACAACACGAGTCTTGGTTGACTCCTTACGACAACAACTAACAAACCTAACAACAACTGTAGTTATAGAGAGATTCAGATTTTGTGGTCCCCATTCCCCAATTCCATTTTAGGTATTTAATTCATGCCTAGTCATCTGAAAAAGGAGCTCTGTGGCTTAGTAGTAGTAAGGAGTTGAGGTAGCCAACCTGGAGACATGTGGTTCAAATCCACCAGCTGTTCCTTAGGAGAAAGATGAGCACTCTTCACCCATTGATTTAATGCCTCTGAATACCTGCTGGAGGGTCAGCTATGGATCGGTTTTGAATGGAAGGTATCCAGCAACAACAGCATCTGTAAAGATGATATCATAATCTGTAACTTGATGTACATTTTTTAAAAGAAATTATTTTATATTGGTTTGCTTACAAAATTAGTATACATTGTTTTTCACACTATCCTTCATGCACATTGTTTCACGCCATCATTCTCATCCTGTTAATTTTATTTTCTAAAAGAAATCAACATTGAAATATGCTCCCCATTGCCCTGCCTGATGTACATTTTTTAAAACGTTACTGTATAGTGTCCAGTTAGAGCTGAGCTATAGCTGGCCTTTCAGTGGTTTTTCAGAGGCAGTAAATCACACAGATTGCCCATCGTTCTCCTACTCCAGATTAGAATCATGTGCCTTTGGATTGGCAGTGCAGTTCCTTACCATTAAGCCAAGTAGATTTTAAATCTTAAATTTGATCAAAATCTTGAGCAAATTGTTTTTATTGTCTCCCTGGTAGGATTGTGCCACCTACTGGTAGTTTATCTTATCGCTCTTTCTCTCCCTCCCTCCCTCCCTCCATCCTTTAGTTGCTGATGCATATTCAAGATGAGCGGGTTAGGAGAAAACGCCTTGGATCCACTGACCGAGTCACGAAAGCGCAAACTCCCATGTGATGCCCCAGGACAAGGGTAGGTGATGGCTACACATCCTTTCCCTTCTGTTTAAAGGTATAACACCACCTTCTTGTGATTTAGTCTTTCTTGTTAGAGTGTTTGGTTAGCATCATGTGCTTTGTAGTTATTGGATGGTAAGTGATGAGGTGGACATTCCTGTAACATAAGAGGAGCTTTATCACTGGATGTGCTAGGTTACAAGAAAGAATCTTTACTTTTAACATTGAACAGATAATGTGGTAGCATTTCTAAGTACTTGTCTGTCTTTTCTCAATGAACTTACTTAACCCACAGCCATCAACTTGATTCCTGTTATAATGATTTTATAGGAGGAGGCTGTCCAACTTTCTTTTGCAAAATAGCTGGTGGATTTGAACCACTGCTCTTTTTGTCAACAGTCCAACATATGACACAGTATGTCCCAAAAAGTAGAAATAAAAACTTAAACAGTGTTGCTTTGTAGCTCTTTTAGGAGTATGCCAAGTGCAGCATTATTTGGATTTTAAAGGGATAGTTGAATAATTGGGGAGAAAACTCTACTGTGAATAAAATGACATCATTAAAAATAAGAAGCAACCATTATTATTTTTACTACTACTTCTACTACTTAGTAGTTCTACTATTACTACAAAGGGAACTTTGATTAGCACCCCCACCCCCCTTTTGTAGATAAAGAAACTCAGGATAACCCTGTCCAGGACCACTCAGATAACAAAAAATGGGGTTGAACAATGTTTTAATAGTTTCTACTGGCAGACTTTAGTTTGTTTTATTTAAAAAGGTGATGGTGCTTACAGGTTTTTTTGTCATAAATTATGATTTCCCAACCCCCACCCACACTTTCCTTTTCTTAGTCTTACCTGCAGTGGTGAAAAGTGGAGAAGAGAGCAGGAGAGTAAATACATTGAAGAGTTGGCTGAATTGATATCTGCAAATCTTAGTGATATCGATCATTTCAATGTCAAGCCAGATAAATGTGCAATTTTAAAGGAAACTGTAAGACAGATACGTCAAATAAAAGAGCAAGGTAAGAAAAGTATAAAAACACTCATACCTTTTGGAAGGAAATGGTAGGTGTTTACATTTGCCTTTTTGTGACCTTGTTTATGTGGCAAACTAGTTGCGGTCCTAGTTTTTTAGCAGGAGAACTCATTCCCAAATTAATTGAGGCTAGTTAATAGGGGAAAGAATGAATGAATTGACTAGCTTAGCGCCTTAGGAAATTGTTAACACATTGCCGCACATTGACGACCGTGCTTTTTTCAATAGATTATCATCATTTGCGGCAACTTGCTAAGGAAATGGAAAGAAAGCCAGTTAGTTCCCTGTGAGGAAGCACCTTTAGTAGTGAAATAGAATTTAGTGTATCTTCTGGGTAGCACTGAAGTTTAATTTAAAAACTGTAGCATCTTCTTTTACCAGACAGTGCCTTGCACGTGCATCTACCGGGGCACAGGTGTATGTCCATGTCTGTTTTGAGGATTATTTGAAGTTGATTTCATTTAAAAATGGATATATTTTCTATTTGTAATATTGTTGCTGTCTTTTCAGGGAAAGCTGTTTGCAGTGATGATGATGTTCAGAAAGCTGATGTGTCTTCCACAGGACAGGGAGTTATTGATAAAGACTCCTTAGGACCACTCTTACTTCAGGCAAGTGTAAAGGTTTAGATGGCCAGTAAGCAGTGTTGCATTTGTGTAGCTTATTAAATGGTTTAGAAAACAAAACAAAACATGGATGAAATTTTGGCGCAGAATTGAGAGAAAAATGAAAATGTTTCTACCAGACTAAAGCCAACCCCACTACTGGTGAGTTATGCTGACTTCTGCGAGGCCTCGTTTTCTTAAATGATGGTAAATATTTCTGAGATTTTTAGTGTACATGACTCTTTGGGCATGTTTTTTACATAAAAGTTCCAGACTGAGGAAAATGCGCACATACACACATGCACATTCATCATTAGAGGAAAATTTCACTTGTCAGAGATAATATTTGGGCTTATTTTAGTTCAGAATTTTTATACACTTTTGTTATGATTGATTACTTATATGACACATTGTTGTTGTTGTTGTTAGGTGCTGTCGAGTCGCTTGCAACTCTTAGCAACCCTGTGGACAACAGCACTAAATTCTGCTCTGTCCTATGCTGATGACACTGTCTCTAATACACCCATCTCGATTAACCCAGTCACTGAATCAATGCACCTCATAGAGGGCTTTCCCCTCCTGTGCTGTCCCCTCCAGCCTCCCAAGCATGATGTCCTTCTTCAAGGACCGGCCCCTCCTTAGAAAGTATGTCAGAGAAAGCCTTAGAATCCTTGCTTCTAAGGAGTAGCCCGGTTTAACCCTCTGCAGGATGAACCTGTTTGTTTTCTTGGCAGTCCATGGTACATTCAGTACTCTTCTCCAGCACCACAGCTCAAAGGCATCAGTTTGCCTATCCTCCCTAGTCATTGTCCAACTCTCTGATGCATAACAAGTAATTGCAAAGACCAGAGAGACAGTGTTGCTCTTTAGTACTTTGGAGAGGTCCCTAACAGCAGACTTTCCCATCGCAATACGTCTTTTAATTTCCTGGCTGCTGTTGCCAAGAGTGTAATAATATAATGTATATGACACATTAGAGTGCTATATTTCTTGTTGTTGTTGTTGTTATGTGCCGTCGAGTCATTTCCGACTCATAGCGACCCTATGCACAACAGCCCTAAACCCTGCTCTATCCTGCGCCAACCGCACCACCTCTGACACACCCATCCCGATTATCCCAGTCACCGAATCAATCCATCTCATAGAGGGTCTTCCCCTCCTGCGCTGTCCCTCAACCCTCCCAAGCATGATGTCCCTCTCCAAGGACCCGTCCCTCCTGGCAACATGTCCAAAGTATGTCAGACGAAGCCCCAGAATCCTTGCCTCCAAGGAGTAGCTTGGTTTATTCCTCTCCAAGATAAATCTGTTTGTTTTCCTGGCAGTCCAGGGTACATTCAGTACCCTTCTCCAGCAACACAGCTCAAAAGCATCCACTCTCCTTCTGTCCTCCCTAGTCATTGTCCAACTCTCTGATGCATATCAAGCGATTGCAAATACCATGGCCTGTATCAGGCGCACCTTAGTCTCCAGAGAGACACTGTTGCTCCTGAGTACTTTAGAGAGGTCCCTAACAGCAGACTTTCCCATCGCGATACGCTTTTTGATTTCCTGACTGCTGGTGCCAAGAGTGTTGACTGTGGAGCCGAGCTATATTTCTTAGGATCTATTAAATCTTAAAGATATACATGTTTTATAAGTTGTTGCCTTCAGTAGAATGACTGCTGGCAGTGTCTTGGGGTACATATTGGACTGCTAACCAAAGGGCATGGGTGACAGACATCAAATGAAAAGACCTGAGTATACTTACCATTATTTTTCAAAGCTCTTTTGATGGTGTAATTAATTCTGATTGATTGTTGACCTTATTTGTCTTGTAAGAAGTTGAATTTTTTAAAAAAAAATTTATATAAGTCCAGTAGAGTTAACTTTAATAAGACTACTGCTAACTGATAGTTGTTTGCTGTAATTAGTGCTGAGACAGTTAAATTCCTTTTCAGGCTCTGGATGGTTTCCTGTTTGTGGTGAATCGAGATGGAAACATTGTATTCGTGTCAGAAAATGTCACACAGTACTTGCAATATAAGCAAGAGGACCTGGTCAACACAAGTGTCTATAATATCTTACATGAAGAAGACAGAAAGGATTTTCTTAAAAACTTGCCGAAATCCACAGGTAGACTCTCTAAAGTTGTTGTTTGAAAATAGAATATTGTCTTTTTTTGGAAGCAAAGTGATCAGGCTTTTGTAGAGTGGCAAATAGTTAGGAGCAGAATTTTCAAGTGTACCCTCATGAATTTGGAATTAAGTGTATATTTCACCAGCCTGAAGTAAATAGTGAATTATTGACATTTCTTTTGAAGTTAAAATTATTCTAATTTTTCTATACTGCTGCTCTGAAATGTGAGTGTAGTTATTTCTGTGATGTGTACACGTAGTGGAAAAATGGAGCTCGCGTGACTGATAGTCAGAGATTGAAATGCCAGCTTTAAAAAAACCCCAAAAACAAAAACCTAAAAAAAACCAAAACAAAAAACCCCCACCTTTTAAATTTGTTTTCCAAAGTTAATGGAGTTGCCTGGACAAATGAGACACAGAGACAAAAAAGCCATACATTTAATTGCCGTATGTTGATGAAGACGCCACACCGTACTCTGGAGGACATGAACCCCAACCTGGAAGTGCGCCCGAGATTCGAGACCATGCAGTGCTTTGCCCTGTCCCAGCCTCGAGCTATGATGGAGGAAGGGGAAGGTAAGGAAGAGCACTTGCTGGGTTTGTGATGTTTTGGAAACAAGTAGCAGACAAACTTGCCATTTCCTAATTTCCATTGTCATGTAAGTCTTTTTCCTGAAGCCTGTGTCCTTATTGCCTACTGAGTGGATATACCAAAAGTAAAACTCTTACATAGTTAGATATTGTTTATTGTAGATTTGCAGTCCTGTATGATCTGTGTGGCACGCCGCATTACTACAGGAGAAAGAGGATTTTCTTCCAGTCACGAGAGCTTCATCACTCGACATGACCTGTCTGGTAAGAACTAAGTGTGTAGAGAGAGAGCTTTGTGCAACTCTTACTGTTTCTGTTGCCATTTGCTTTCTTATATCCATTGGCTTTGTATGTTTTATTCTCTTCTTACATAGAACCCTAAGGTAGATTCATTAAGACCCTTGACATGTTGTTGGATATACTCGGCACTTAAAATTCCTCAGAAGAATGAATTTAAAAGCAAATGTAGAGATACCGGACTCTTTCCCTGTGGGGAGTGTTTTGGATCAGAATTGCTAAATTCTCTTCTCTGTAATTTCAGAACAACTTATCTTAAAGAAAACAAGACAAAAACCCCAAACAATTTAATAAGAGAGAATTCCTAGGGATAATTCCTAATTCCAGCATTAGCTTCATTGTTGATTTACTGTTCTGTGACCATGGGAGTAACTCAAAACTGAGTAGTTGTTAAAAAGACATTGATGAAATAATGACCATAGCTTCATTATCTACACTCACCTTAAAGACCATTAAACAGCTATCTGAAACTGTACCTAAAGGTTGAATAACTGCAAAAATAGTACTGTTGTTGCTGTTTGAAAACATCTGAAGAGGTATGTTTTGTACTTATTTACATTATTTATTGTATCAATGAGTGTCCACAAGGACATTATAGTATAAAATTAGTCTTATAGGATTATCAGTTTGAGGACTAAGGTACACCTCAGGCTGTCAGTTTGAATACTAAGGTACACCTGTTGTTTTTGGGAACGCTTGGTGGTGATTCAAAGGGTTTACTATGTATGCCTCATTCCTGGTGGTCAAAGGGTTTACTATTCCGTAGCTGGGAAAACAGACTTGGTGAGAGGGATTGGAATGCTTGTTTAAGGTTATGGCTAAGAAGATAATTTGCACCTGAATCTACCTGACTTCAAAGTCTATGTTGTTGTTAGGTGCTGTTGACTTGAGTATGATCCATAGCGATCCTGTGAACAATAGCTCTGCATCCTGGCCTGTCCTGTGCCATCCTCACACTTCTTGACACAGGACAGCCCATTGAGGCAGTCACCATGTTAGTTCACCTGGGTGAGGGTCTTCCTCTCATTCACTGACCCTCTGCTTTTCCAAACATTATGTCTTCTCCAAGGAATAGCCCCTTCTAGCAACATGTCTGAAGTTGTTGTTGCTGTTGTTAATGTGCCGTCTAGTTGCTTGTATGTGAGGAAAAGTTTTATCTTCTTTGCCTCCAGAGAGTACTCTGGTTGCACTTTCTCCAAGACATATTTGTTTGTTCTTTTGGTAGTCCATGGGATGTTCAGTGTCCTTCCTTATCACTACAGCGCAAAGGCATCAGTTCTTTGTCTGTCATCTTATTCATTGTCCAGCTCTTCGATGCGTAGCACATGATCACAAAGACCATGGTCCAAATGAGATGTGCCTTAGTCCTCAAACTGATACTATTATTCCTCAGTAATTTGGAGAGGTCCTTAATTGCAGACTTTCAAAATCCACTAAGACTAATTTTATACTAAAGTGTCCTTGTGGACACTCAGTGATATGATGAATGATGTAAATAAGTAGAAACCATAACTACAGCACCCTTTAGATGTTTTAAAGCAGCAACAGCAGTACTACTAATGCAATTATTCAACCTTTAGGTACCAGTTTCAGATATCTGTTTTGAAACTCCTTAAAATTTATTTTCACAGATGGAAACAAACAAAAAATGTACTGAGAAAGTGATGTGTGTTCTGGGTTGTCAGTTTATACTGATGGGTACTACTTGATAGTTAAAAGAAAGAATACAGTAACCTCAGATGGAAACGTTGTCCCTGATCACTGTTGAGACATAGATTTTCTTTAGCTTCATAGTTTTAGGGACAGAGTATTTTTAATTTTCATATATTTGAGTGAAGTTTTATATCATATTGGTTTTTCAGACAAGCATTTGTAGACATTTTTGTTTATACCATGTAATTGGCATTGATTAATGCAATTAATTTCATTATCTAATCAACCTCTTGAGCTCTGATGGCTGGTGGTAAGTAGCAGCTAAGTAGCAGCACTGCCCACCCAGAGATAAGTGGTTCAAATCCACAAGCTGCTCTTTGGGAGAAAGAGGATCAGTGTACTCCTGTGTAATTAGCCTGCCTCTGAGAACCCTCTGGAGGATGAGCTCTGGTTGGTTCTGAGTCGACAGCACACAAGATGAAAGCTGCAGTAGGCAGTGATTTTGATCATTTCTTCATGTGTTTGTTTGCCATTGTTGTCATAGCTGAAGTATCTTATTCATGTCTTCTGACCATTTTGAAATGGAATTGTCTATTTCTTGTTGAGATGTTGGCGTTTTCTTTACACTTTAGAGAGGATTTCCTTGTCAGATGTGTTCTTGTAAATATTTTCCCCAGTCTGTAGGTCTCTTTTTACTTTCTTGAAGAAGGCTTTTGATATGCCTAAGAATTTGTCCTTTGTGCATTTTTAGTTCTGTTTTATAGTTTGTTTAAGCCATTGATTAGCTCTTCTTACTTTGCCCCAGTTTCTTCTTTGTTGATCTCTGTAGTTTCAGGGCTTACCCTCAGGTCTTTGATTCCTCTGAGTTTTTGTATATGGTATGAGGTATCAGTTTTGTTTAAATTTTCTGCAGATAGACAGGTGATTTTGTAGTATCATTTCTTAAAGAGCCTGTCTTCCCCCTACTTAATGGATTTTGTGTCTTTGTCAACGATCACTTGCTCGTGGTGGATGGATTTGTTTCTGGATTCTCAGTTTGTTACATTGGTCCATATCAGTTGCTATAGCAGCCCCAAACTATTTTGATTACTATGACTGTATAGTAGGTTTTGAAATCAGGAAATGTGAGGCCTCCGACCTAGGTTCTACCACCCCTGCATTTTCTGTTTCTCTCTTTTCTTAGCATATGAATTTGGTGATAATTTTTTTCCATCTCTTTGAGAAATGATGATGGAATCTGGGTTGGGATTGCATTGTGCTTATAGTTGGTGTTCGCTCTGCTGACATTTTTACAGCGTTACATCCTCCATCCCATAAGTTTTTACGATTTTCCATTTATGTCAGTCTCTGTGGGTTTCTTGCAACAGTATCTTGTTATTTTCTTTGTATAGACCTTTTTGTTTCTCTGATTGGAGTTACTAATAAATATTTGACTTTTTTGGGTGAAGGAAAGAATGTTTTTAGATTAACGATTTGACTGGAAGGTGTTACTTTAATGAAAAAGTTTAGGTTCCCTGAACAAGCTGTACTTTGTATATTCATGAAGTAAAAGAAGTTATATGATAAGCTTTTATGTTCTATGTAATGAAACATTCAGATGTGAGAGTGCCCTGCAGGATGATAGCCTTAAAGAGAAAAGCTTGGGATATGTCAGAGATTTGGGTCAGGAAAAGTAGGACAGTGATCGAGTATCTGTCTTCTATTTTATTTACTCAGCACTAAGCCCACAGTAGACAGATAGTGAATACTTCTGGGTTTGATGTCAATCTTTTGTTTCCTCGTTAATAGGAAAAGTTGTCAATATAGATACAAATTCTCTGAGATCTTCCATGAGGCCTGGTTTTGAAGATACAATCCGAAGGTGCATCCAGAGATTTTTCAGTTTTAATGATGGACAGTCATGGTCGCAGAAACGTCACTATCAAGAAGGTAAATACGTCTGGGAATTGACTCTTGATTTTGTCCTTTGTTTGATATGCTGTAAAGCTCTAACTTTGTACCTGGTGGTAAGTGGCATTGGTGGGAGAAGGAAGAGAAGGGCTTTCTTGAGTGCCAGTATTTAGCCATTTCTGCACAAGTTTTGTGCAGATGTGGTCTTTAAACTGGGTTTTGAAAATCATGTGCTTGTAGAATGTTTTCTTCTCTCCTGCATGTGCCTTTTTGCTGGCTGGTGTTGCTAGCACTGAGATGTTTTCCCCGCAGCGTACATCCACGGCCACGCTGAGACCCCGCTGTACCGCTTCTCCTTGGCTGATGGAACCATTGTGACCGCACAGACGAAAAGCAAGCTCTTCCGGAACCTCGTAACGAATGATCGCCACGGCTTTGTCTCGACCCACTTTCTCCAGAGGTAATGATAGACTTTGGCATTTTTCCATATTCAATGCAGCATGTGTTAAGTTACTATATTTAATAAAAAAAAAATTTAACAAGAGGAAAAGCATGAATATCATTGGATTTGCTGACATGAGTTTAGATTCCTGGATTACAGTTTGTTTTCTTTTTTCTTTCTGTGAAAATAATTCTTGATTATACAGTTACTTCCTGAGAAAGCTGGGGTGGGACGGCAGCCAATGGGTGCAAGAGCATATAAAATGTGACCACTTCTGTACTTTTCATTTCTAGTAGTGTGTTAGCATGGCTTTTCAGTACTCAGTTTGAAATTTTAATCTTATCTCTACGAATAAGCAGTTGTTACTAGTGGTGTTGCAGATGGAGCCTTGGTAGCATAGTGGATTCTGCATCGGGCTGCTAACTGAAGGACCAGCAGTTCAGAGACCAGCCCCTCCATGGAAGAAGGCTGAGGCCACCTGCTCTGCAGGATGGATTGTCTTAGAGAATTTGGGGGTCGGGGGGAGGAAAGCAGCCTGGCATCAGGGTTTTGTTTTCAGTGGTCCATGAGCACCACATGAAAGCAGACATTCATCATTCATCATCTGGAGTTCTTTGCAGGCACCTCCGTCTGCCCCTCTTAGATATATGACAACTCAAGTTAACATTGAACCTGGTGGTGCAATCTTTTAAGTGCTTAGCAAAGGTCTTTGTTTTCTCAGTTCATTGCCACTTAGTTGGAACTGACTCACAGTTGACACTCCAGTGGGTTTCCAAGTCTGTAAATCAAATGGAAGGAGATGATCCACTTTTCTCCTGAGCAGCTGCTGGGGCAGTCGAACTGTTAGAGCAACGTGGACTTGAAATGAGCAGCACGACTGCTCTGGATTCAGCTACCATAGCTCTTCTAAGTTTCTGCACAGCCGACAGACAGAAGGAGGCAGAGAAAGGATTGAGGGTGGGGGTGCCTTCTCCTAGAGCCGGCAGCCTGTGTTTAGTGTTTAGACGGCTGGCCTTGAAGAAGACGTTTGTGCTTGTTGAAGCTGCCTCTTTGTGCTCTCTGGTATAGTAGCTAAGTTGTTGCCTTCAGCATCTGTGGGCCCAGCGTTTCTTGGAGATCTCAGTCTACCTTCATTTTCCCCCATATTGAGGCACTCCCAGCACAGAGGCCTGAGTCCAAAGCACGTGCTTCATTCTTGGTTGTCTTGAGGTCTCCTCTGCTTGCTTCTGTCCTTTTATGTTTTCTAAGAGTTAAAGCTGTAACAGGTCACAGACCAGGCAAACTCCACATCAGATCAGGCCTGTGATCCAATTAAAGGTGCTGCATCCCACCCATGTCCACGCCTAACTCCTAATCATGCCTCAGGTCCCATCATGGGGAATGACGGCATTGTTACACAGTGGTCCCTGATTCTGCCTGATTAACATCATTGTGTGTGTCAACTCCTAGCTGATCCTTCAGTGGCTTTTCAGAGCAGTAAATCTTGGAGGATGAGCTTGCCCTCCTTTCTCCTGCAGAGCTGCTGCTGGTGGATTCCCGCTGGGTGCTTTTGGGTTGGCAGAGCAGCTCCTTACTGTCTCTAATCCTGCCTCAGCAAGACCATAGAGGTTGGGATTTACAGCACATAGAATAACTATATTATACAGAGAATCATTGTTCTCAAGCAGCTGATGGATTTGAACCACAGGTATTTGGGATAGCAGTGCAACTCCTAGCCACTAGGTCACCAGAGAATCATGGCCTAACCAAATTGACACGCTGTGGGAGAGCGTGTTCATACCATGACAGCTGGTAGCAGTTTGGTGGTTAGAAACTACCTGGTGACTTTATAGGAGAAATTATCTGCTTCTGTAATGATTATAGTAACTAGCATCAACAATAACGAGTCCATGTAGCATAGCTGCTGGCCTTCTCAGTGCTGGGGCAGTGCCACTCATTAGACCCTGCAGTTTGTGAAGGGTAACGGCTACACTAGAAATGTTGATATTCGGATATTGCACAAAATGGTACCTTCCTGCTCTTTACCTCAGCCCTTGATTATCTGAGACAGAGCTTTACTACATGCTTTCAATTTTTTATAGTAAAAGTTTGATGTTCTGTTTGTTTGCAGAGAACAGAATGGGTATAGGCCAAACCCGAATCCTCTTGGGCAAGGTGTTAGGCCTCCTGTAGCTGGATGCGGCGGTGCTGTAGGTGGCATGAACATGTCACCAAGCCAAGGCTTGCAGATGTTGAGCAGCAGGACCTACAGCGTGGCAGATCCTAGTGGTCCTGGGCAGATGGGTGGAGCTAGATACGGGGGCTCCAGTAACACTGCCCCAGTGAACCCAGGGCCAGGCGTGCAGTCACCGTCTTCGTACCAGAACAACAGCTATGGTCTCAACATGAGCAGCCCTCCCCACGGGAGTCCTGGCCTTGGCTCCAACCAGCAGGGTATCATGATTTCCCCTCGTAATCGTGGGAGTCCGAAGATGTCCTCGCATCAGTTTTCTCCTGTTACAGGTACCCATGCTGGCATTTAATTTTCTTTGCAAGTAATTCTTTTCTGTCCGTGCCACTTCAACTTTTGTAAAGGTCAATGATGTCATAATAGACACTTAGCAGAATTAAGTGGCGTTTTGTTACAGTGTGTGATAGTCTTAACTCTGTCCTCACTTTTCTGCAAATCCAGGTGTGCACTCTCCCATGGGATCTTCTGGCAATCCCGGGAGCCACAGCTTTTCCAGCAGCTCTCTCAGCGCCCTGCAGGCCATCAGTGAGGGCGTGGGCACTTCTCTCTTATCCACTCTCTCTTCACCAGGCCCCAAATTGGACAACTCTCCCAATGTGAATATCAGCCAGCCAAGTAAAGTGAATAGTCAAGATTCCAAGAGTCCCCTGGACTTATATTGTGACCAGAATGCAGTGGAGAGTTCAATGTGTCAGTCAAATAGCCGGGATCATTTCAATGACAAGGAAGGTAAAGACAGCAGTGTGGAAGGGTCAGAGAATCCGAGAGCTCCTCTGGAAAACAAAGGCCATAAAAAACTACTGCAGCTACTCACCTATTCTTCCGATGACCGGGGCCATTCCTCCTTGACCAACTCGCCCCTGGATTCAAGTTGTAAAGACTCATCCCTCGGTGTCACCAGTCCTTCTGGAGTCTCCTCTTCTACTTCTGGGGGTGTGTCCTCCACATCCAACATGCATGGGTCCTTGTTGCAAAAGAAACACCGAATTTTGCACAAGTTGTTACAGAATGGGAATTCACCGGCTGAGGTAGCCAAGATCACAGCCGAAGCCACAGGGAGAGACACCAACAATACGGTGTCTTGTGGAGAAGGAAATGTGAAGCAGGAACAGCTGAGTCCTAAGAAGAAGGAAAACAATGCGCTCCTTAGGTACCTCCTGGACAGGGACGATCCTAGCGACACTCTCTCCAAAGAACTACAGCCCAAAATGGAAGGCTTTGATAGTAAGATGAGTCAGGGTGGCGGCTGCACCATGCCCAGCTCCAGTCAAGAAAAAGAGTCTAAAATTAAGACAGAAACAAATGAAGAGGTAATTTTTCTGTACTTTCCAGCTTAGTAATAGTGTTTCACCTTTGTTTTTTTGGTATATGCATTATGCACAGATTCTTAACTGTTAGTTTACATTTATTTAATGGGTACTAGTTTTGAGTTCTTTGTGTTTTAGCCCTTAGTAAAATTTATTATGCAATTTAAAATATATGTGTGTTTTAAATAAAATGTGGTTCTCTTTAGAGGCAAATTTTAATTCGTTAAATTTTCCAAATATCTCACATGAAGTTTTAAGTTTTAAAACTTCATGTGAGATATTTGAAATAATATTGCTTGGGATAAGCAGAATGGTTCATTAAAAGGATAGTAGAAGTAAGAAAGAAATGTTTCAAGTGAAAAGAAATTTTTCTTTTTTTTAAAAAAAACCCTAAAAATCAAGTTTTACCTACCTTATCACAAGTAAAACATTATGTGAACATTCCCAAGCTCTGCTTAAGAAATGCTATTCCATGAGCACCCGCACTTCTGCCATGGTCCCACTCTCTGGAAGACTGGGAGTCTGGGCTTCCGCCCCGGAAGGCGGCACATACCAGCTCTTCTGCCCCACCTCTTTCCTCAGGGGTCAGGCCCTGTGTGTGGTGGTGGGTGGGCTGGCTGTTAAGACATGTGTCATGTACATTTGTTCAAAAATAAATAGGTGACCATGGAGGGGAAAAAAAAGAAGGAAAGAAAGGAAAAAAAAAATGCTATTCCAAGAGAGCTTATGATATTTCTTAGCAATTTAAAAGGTTTGCAGCAACTTTAAAATTGAGTTGTCTTATTTCACTTTCTTTTTTTTAAATTTTATTATTTTTGTGTGCGTGTACCATCAAATCAGATCTGACTGGTACAGGAGGAGATTGTCCCTCCTTCCTTACCCGGCAGAGCATCTGGTGGATTCGAACCGTTCGCCTCCGGGATTGTAGTTGCAGCTCCTTGCCACTAGGCCACCAGAGCTCCCCTTATTTCACTTTCTTAAACTAAATGGTTACCAAATATCCTGACTAAAAGCCATTTTGGAGCACACCATTAAGATATCCACTTGAGGCTATATTGCTAGTCAGTGCTTTTATCCATGAGGTGTGTATGTATGTGGAACCCAAGATTCGGCGGTTCAGCTTGAGCTTTTCCTTCAAGGAAGATAAATAGAGATGTGACCATGATGATACAGGCTTTTAGTTGGCACTATTGTTTTAGCTACAAGTGATGTTTTAATTTTCCCCATTTTATTTTGATGTCTTTATATGTCTAGTAATATATACATAGAGTAATCTTAAAAATTTATTTACAGGGGCCTGGAGACTTGGACAATCTAGATGCTATTCTTGGGGATTTGACCAGTTCTGACTTTTATAATAATTCCATATCCACAAATGGTAGTAATCTGGGAACCAAGCAGCAGATGTTTCAAGGGCCTAATTCTCTGGGTAAGGAAAGAAATAGGCCTTATTTTATTTGTGTTTAAATGTTTCTGTATATTTCTATGCATTTTTACACTAAGACCAGGCTTCATCTAGCATATATAGCTTAGAAAGACACACTTCTAAGTCTAACAGACTAAGACAGTCTTTTTGATAGTGTATGTATTTTTCATAAACTTTCTGGACATTTTCCTGTTTGTTCATTTGCCTTTTTCGTACCATTTGTCCAGTTGTCATGACAGTTATGAGAAAATGTTCTTCTTTGGCTCTCCCTGATGAGCAGTAGGTACTAGGGTGTGGTGTGGGGTTTGGTTTTTTTTAAGACAGAGAGTTATATTCAAATAATTAAAATCCTGTCCTTTGACATTTAGGAAATCTTAGTCATTTTACTGAGTTATTATTTTTGATGTTAGTTGATCCTCAGCAAAGCTCTCTCTTAATACTGTTTTGTGTGAGGGTTCCCCCCCCCATTCATCAATTTAACACAAATATATTGGATATAACCAATTGAGTAAAAGAATAATTCACAATATTAGTTTTCAGTTATTACATTTTCTACTTGAATGTCCAGCCAAACCACTCAAATTGATTGGCAAAGGGAGAATCCGTATTAGGAGGAAGTTTTCTATTGCATTCCTGTTTTGAAAGAAGCTGCGTGATACGCATAGATGTGGAAGAACCCACAGCAGCATTAAACATCGGTGGGTTTTTCTGTCCTGAGTAAAGCAGATGTGAGGCCCAGCACTTCAGCCAGCACTCAGATCCTGTTTTTATTTGGAATATGATGCATGGATTTGCTTCCCCCCCGCTTTAGTGTTTCTTTTATAAAGGAAGACAGGGCTTGTTGTATTGGTGGGTGTGGAGGTTTTGTGTCTTGAACTTGACTGGATTATTAACTCATCAGGATATTGATGTATATTGTACTTTTATGTTTCAGCAGGTCTGAGAAGTCCACAGTCTCTGCAGCCCATTCGGCCGCCATATAACCGGGCGGTGTCTCTCGACAGCCCAGTGTCCATTGGCTCAAGCCCTCCAGTGAAGAGTATCAGTGCTTTCCCAATGTTACCAAAGCAACCCATGTTGGGTGGGAATCCCAGAATGATGGATAATCAGGAAAATTATGGCTCAAATATGGGTATGCGGTTTCTAAGTCGTTGTTACGTACAGTTGAGTAGGAAGTGGCCCCTGGGGGCCTTCCAGCAGGTGTTCAGAGCAGTTAATCGCGCCAGACTGCTCATCTTTGTCCTCGAGCAGCTGGTAGATTTACATGGCATGCCTTTGGGGCTGCAGCGCAGCTTCTTCCTGCTGCCACCAGAGCTCCCCTGGTTAAAATTTCTTTTGGATAAAGTGGATTTAAAATATTTAAAGCCATTTTAAATAATTGAAAATAAGGAATAATTTTTGTTCTTAAAAAAGGCTTCAGCCTGATGTTTCTTTTCATGAATTTCCTTCATTATGTCTGTTTTAGTTATTTAAACCCTTAAGAAGGCTTTTATCCTAAGACATTTCTAACCTGTAGTGAATAGATGGGGAATTGTGGCCTTACTAGAAATGTTTGTGTAGCTGGATAGAGCTCTTCTTTTTTTTTTTAACTTTTCAGAAGATGTTTCATTTTTGAAGTGCACAACTCTTAAAGCACACACGCAGTATTTACATTAGATCTCTTCTGAGGATGACAGAGCACATTTTTGGGGCAGAGCGGTACAGAATGATAATGGTGGGGTTTTTTTGGGTGTTGGTTTTGTTTTTTTTTTTTTTTTAAATATAGAGTACATCATTTATTTCTCTGTGTGTATATGCATATAAAGGATTCCATAATATTATGAAAAGACCTCATTGTTTTTACCTATTTTAGGTGGACCAAACCGGAATATGGCTGTGACCCAGACACCATCCTCAGGAGACTGGGGCTTACCAAGCTCCAAGGTTAGTCGAATGGAGCCCCTGAGTTCAAACTCCATGGGACGACCTGGAGCAGATTACAGTGCTTCTTTACCCAGACCTGTGATGGGCGGCTCCATGTCGGCCTTGCCTGTCCGGTCCAATAGCATGCCAGGCACGAGGCCAGTGTTGCAGCCGCCGCCGCAGCAACAGCAGCCGCCGCCGCAGCAACAGCAGCAGATGCTTCAAATGAGTAAGCTTCCCTTTTTTTATAAAAGAAGTTTTATGGTAATTGTTACCATTGGTATATTTGAAAATTAGACTGTCTGTTTGCCTCCCCAGGGCCTGGTGAGATTCCCATGGGCATGGGAGTCAATCCTTACAGCCAAGCAGCTCCATCTAACCAACCTGGTTCCTGGCCAGAGGGCATGCTGCCCATGGAGCAAGGCCCTCATGGCACTCAGAATAGGTGAGGCCTTTGTGTGTGATCTTTGGAAACCGTTAGCATCAGATTCTCTAGAAGAAGATTAGAACAATCTGCATTTTGTAGTGATCGTGTGTGAGAAAAATGAGGTGAAGGTAGCAAGTAGAAGCATTCATGGATGAGGGAGGAAACAGAACTAGGCGTGTTCAGTTCCAGAACTATTCACACCTCTCTGTGTGAGGTGGTGACCCTGTGATGATACACTCCCACGAGGAGGGGGATAAGCCAGCCAGCGTTGATTTTAGAGGTTCAAAGCCAATTTCTCGTGAGTTTATAAATGGTAGTCGGAGGGCAAGCCCAAGATGTTTGAAAAATTAATCTTTTATGATTGGATAATTTCTTTAAAAGATAATTTGAAAGTTTTCATGGATTCTGGGGTATGCATAATTTTTATTTTACTTGGTTGGTAGTTTGGTAACAGCAAAGAACCTACCAGTTATTGTCAGACGGTGGATCACAAGCTAGTTTATATTCTTAAATTCTAAAAAGGAATCTATTGAGTAGACAGCTCCATAGTGACATTGGTTTTATGAATTAAGGTGAACGGTCCATCGATGTCATGGTGCCCCCACTCCCTCACAGTAGAGAACTGATAGTTTTCAGTCCCGATAGTTCTCAGGCAGGGCACGTTTCTAGCTATATGCCCATTTGTGTGTGGATGGAGAAATGTGGTACCTTGATGTTAATGTAGGAAGTTTGTATTTGTTATCTCTGTGGGCCAAGTATAACAAAAATTTTTGACAGATTTCACTGTCCAATTGGTAGTTCAACATTTATCTTCTGGGTTTTAGTTGCTTTTCCTAACTTTCAAATAATAAAACTGTTAATACTACTTCAGGTTGTAGAGTCTTCACCCTCCTCCCACTTGTCCAAGCTGCCATTTCCCAAATTTCACATCTGGGAAAGCATATTTTGGTGCTTGAATTGCCTTCTAGAAATGCTAGATTTGGTGGTTGAAGATGATCTAATATTTTAAAATTGTGGTACTTTAAATTCCTATTGTTCCCACTTTTTCTTTTCTTCTGCTACAGTTTTATTTCTGCTTGGGCTATTAATTGATATATATGTATTTTGACAATATTGTGTAAGGTTACTGTGGGTTTTTGTTTAAGAAAGAAAATACCATTGAAATTGATGACAAGTTTCTTTTTAGACCCCTTCTTAGGAATTCCTTGGATGATCTCTTGGGGCCACCTTCTAACCTAGAAGGTCAGAGTGATGAAAGGGCGTTGCTGGATCAGCTGCAGACTATCTTGAGCAACACAGATGCCACCGGCCTGGAGGAGATTGACAGAGCTTTGGGCATCCCTGAACTTGTCAATCAAGTAGGTGACATTAATGGAGAAAGAGAATATACACACACACTCTCATATTGACTCATGCGCAGGAACATCTTAGTATTGTATTGCCTCACTATAGTTATACAGCACATTAAAAGAAAAACACACCAACCAACACAAACCCAAAAATCAACAACAGACCCTCCATAATTTTTTTATATCACTTCCAGCAATTTACTGTTCGTTTAAAGAGTCAAATTTGAAGAAGATCTAATGAGAAGACTTTTAAAAATGCTACTTTTTTTTTCACTTTGTAATGACTTTTCATTTTTATTTCTTTCTCTGCTGCCTCACTCTCCACTGTGAACTCCAAGGAACAAGCTTGTTTGTGTGGCATTTTAAACCAGTTCCCTTTATCGTGATCAATCTGAACCTATCATTCTCAGTTATATACTCTGTCTAAATGTAAATATGTGTTCTTGGATTATATGCATTTTGGAAACATTCTCTTTAAGGACAATGGGAAGGTCTGCGTTCAGAGAAAAGCAGGGGAGCTGCCAGGGTCTTCTCTGTCTTTGGTGGGGAGATAACGTTTACATGGGAAATGATGGCGTAGTGTGGCAAGCAGTCTCGTAACTTTTTCTCAGCACCAGATTATCTTCTGAGCCTTTTTAATGAAATAGGAATATGGAATTTTGAGACAACATGGCTTTTGGTCTAATTATTTAGACACATAGGAAGCGCTGGTGGCTTAGTAGTAAGGAATCTTGCTGTCACCAAAAAGGCACTTAGTTCCAATCCACCAGACTACTCCGAAAAAAGACGGACATTCTTCTCCTGTGCATTTTACTGCCTCTGAGTACCAGATCAGCTTTGAGCTGGTTCTGACTTGATGGAACACAAGAAGAAGGAGTGAAAAAAGTTCAGGTTTGAGTTTTAATGTGACATAAAAAACACCGGAGGTCTCTCTAGTGCTGGAGTTGATGCCTGGAGCCCCTTTCTTTAGTTTCACAGTTAGAGAGGTCTCTAACAGATGGCAGCACGCACCATAGAGCCGAAACCTGGAAGTGGAAAGTGTAACCAGCACTACGTGTGTCAAGGGTTAGGTTAGGAAAGGGTTAAGGGATGAGTGGGAATAGAGCAGGCTTGTACGGGTGTGCAGCCCAGGAGCGTGTGACTCTCACCCTGTGGAGGGGCGGCCTAACCCTGGCCACGGGGTGTCTGTGACGGTTACATGGAGACTGAGAAGCCAGAGCTGCCTGTGAGCCTTTTAATTAAAGCTGGAAATAGGGGTTTTTTTGTTAAAACACATTAATGATTTTGATGTAAAACTCTGCTAGTAGTAAAATGCACAAAATGCATTTATAAACTTTTCTCTTGTTACAGAGTCAGAATTCTTAGTAACTTTTTAGAATAAATACTTGGATATTTTAAAATTACTTATACAAATATACATTAATGTGTAGTTTGTTTTTTGTTTTTAATGGGATTGTTGTTCTTTGTCCTCGAGTTAAGTACAACTCATAGTGAGCCCATGAACAAATGTGAACCTTGGCCTGCCCTGTGCCGTCCTCACAGTCCTGACACATTCGAGCCCACTGCAGCAGTGGCTGTGCCGGGTCTTCCTCTCTTTCAGTGACCCTCCGCTCCAAAAATGGAAATAGGTAGACTTTAAAGTACTATTCAACAGATACTTATCAGTGCCACAATTTTCAGCTGTCTACTAATATTTGTTATATATGTGTGTGTGTACACACACACACACACACACACACACACACACTGTCTGCCCATATTTATTATTTGTGTACTCTCTTTCTCGCTCTCTCCTGACCAAAATAGTATCTGTTGGATGTTTAACTTAACCAGATGACATAATCTGTAGGGGAGTTGCACTGCTACAAGGTGATGCTTCTGGTGGTTTGAGTCTGTCAGCAGCTCCGGGAGAAAGGTGGGCAGCCTTCCCCTGCAGTTCACAGCTGGAGGGTCAGCTTTGATCCGTTCTGCTCCGCTGATGAGAGGAGTCCTGATGGCACGGGGTTAAGTGCTCAGCTGCCAGCCGCAGGTCAGCAGTTTGAATTCAGCAGCTGCTCCACAGGACGAGTGCGGTGGTCTGCGATCATAGGTGGGGAAGTCTGCGAGGCAGTTTGTGTCTCTTCTGTCCGGTAGAGACAGTGTGACATGTACTGGACTGAAGGCCCAGCAGCAGCTGCTAAGGAAAATCCCATCATTCCTGAACATTTGGTCATAAGTCTGTGAAGTCTATCTTGTTTCCTTATTCTGATTCCTTAGATTCAACTCCAAAGTTTGCATTATTGCTCCTTACATGAAAAGTTCTGTCATATGACTTTCATGGTACCAACAGAGTATAACAGTGCTTGGTCCTCACAGCTTTCTCCCAGCATCCCGCTGTCTGACTTAAGGAGAAAGACAGAGCCATGAACGTGTTGCCATCAATTCTGACTCATCATGACTTGACTCTGAAGGACAGAACACAGCTCTCACCTGGGATTTCCAAAGCCAGAAATCTTCAGAGATACAGATGATCTCATCGTTCAAACCACCAGCCTTGTGCTGGGCAGCCGAGGCCCTAACACTGTGCCACCAGACCCAGAGAGAGCTCATGGAGGGTGGGAGGAGGAAGTCATGGATCAGTGAACAGTGATAAAGAAATACTGAGCATAATTATTTGTTGGGAACTTTGCCAATATGATAGATCAAAAGAAGAAAACTCCAGTTTTAAGTTCTATTTCTTTGATTCATAAGATCAGACATCTTTATGTATATTGACCATTTATATACTGTGGACTATCAGGAGAACAAACAGGTTTGTCCTGGAGAGGGTGAAACCAGGCTGCTCCTTGGAGGCAAGGATTCTGAGGCTTAGTCTGACTTACTTTGGGTGTGTTGCAAGGAGGGACCGGTCCTTGGAGAGGGACGTCATCATGCTTGGGTGGGTGTAGGGACAGCGCAGGAGAGGAAGACCCTCAGTGAGATGGATTGATTCAGTGACTGGGGTAGAAAGGGTAGAAAGGTGGCTCAGGATAGAGCAGGTTTCAGAGCTATGATACATAGGGTCACTATGAGTCTAAGGTGACTCAACGGCACATAATAACAACAACAACAACAACAACAACAGCAAATCTTTGTAGTTTCTGATGTAGTTGTTAGTTTGTTGATTGTAAGGCTACTTTAAGTGCATTTCTTCATTGATTTATTTGATTCTCACACTCAGATATTTACATGTTTTCTGTATGCCAGTCAGTTTTTTAGAGGGAGAAGATTCAGAGTGAGCAAATGAATTCCAGCTTTCTAGGCTCACGTTCCAGTGAGTGAACAGGAAGGAACCGTGAAGTAGGAGACAGTGAGGTGGACCAGAGGCCACGGGGGGTGGGGGTGGGCATCTAACATTTTCCTCAAAAAGTGGCATTTGAGCTGCGGTTTGAAGGAGATCTATTAACTAGTTTTCCTTCGGGTGTAAGGTCTTGTTCTTAGTTGAGAAATTGTGGAGTTTTCAAATCCAGGATAATAAGATAAAGGACAATTTCTCACAGAAATGACATGAGAATTCATTAGCTGCAATGATTCTGTTTTCTAAAATTTTATAATTGGCATGGTCAGTCCATGTTGATAGAGCACTCTGTTCTAGAGGAAATGATGCCTCTCCCGGAACGTAATTCATTTGAGGGGTTTGACATGAATGATATTTGAGCATTTGTCTGGGTGAGACCTGATGCAAAGCTGGGACATGGTGTGTGTTCTTAAGGAGTAAGGACAGTAAGACGGGAACTCGACTGTGCTTTTGGAGTTCTTGATCATCGTTGTTACATGCTGACTTTATGTCCCGCCCTCCTTTAAGGTGTTTGTTTCCTGTGGTTTTCCCACATACACTTCAGTGTTTATTTCCTGTGTTTGATGTTTAAGGGACAAACTTTGGAACCCAAACAGGAAGCTTTTCAAGGCCAAGAAGCAGCAGTGATGATGGAGCAGAAGGCAGCATTCTACGGGCAGACGTACCCCGCACAGGGGCCTGCGATGCAGGGAGGCTTCAACCTTCAGGGGCAAACGTCGTCATTTAACTCCATGATGAATCCGATGAGCCAACAGGGCGGCTTTCCTCTCCAGGCGATGCACCCGAGGGCCAACCTCATGAGACCCCGGACAAACACGCCCAAGCAGCTTCGGATGCAGCTTCAGCAGCGATTGCAGGGCCAGCAGGTAACCACTTCCACCATGTGCTTCGACCCGAAGTGATGTACTTTCCTCCTTTCTCTGGTCTCAGGTTGTGCGTTAGTGCTCTGTGAACACTTGGAGGGTAGAGGGGGTCCAGGACCCACAGACTTAACACTCCTTGTCCCGAAAACAGTTCCTTTTGTTTCCAGTTCTTGGTAAAACTGTTTGTTGAACAAGGGAGGTGGTCATGGCAGCACTGCTTACCTTTCTGTAAGAACACACACATGAACGAATACATGTTGTACAGGTGAAAAAGTACACCGTGGCGGAGGGCTGCTCTGGGAGAAAGGGAACAGGGTTTCTTTCTTCTAAATTAGTTTTAATGAAAGTTTACAGAGACTTAGGATTTCCATTGTTGCACACTTTTCTCCCTGCTCACTCCCTCCCCCCTTTGAAAAGTAAAATATATATATATTCTTTCATTGTTATACAGTCTCTCTCCCCCACCCCTCTAGTCCACTCCACTATGCAGCCTTCATTCTGGACTCCTGTCATGAAAATAATACCTAATCACATATCCCTTTTAAACAGTCCTCTCCCTCATCTGTTTCAATGCAGTATACATTTTTTATCCCCTCTTTGCTTAGTTCCCCCACAACCTTGTTGTCAGCCCCCATTTATAACAGTGGCATTATGCAGTATTTGTCCTTTTGTGACCAAGATATTTCACTCAGCATAACGTCCTCCAGGGTCACCCATTTTGTATAATAATTAATGAGTTCCTTGTTTTTCAATGCCACGTAGCATTCCATTGTGTGAATATACCACAGCTTCTCTATCCATTCATTTGTTGGTGGGCACTTGGGTTGTTTCCAACTCTATGCTATTGTGAACAAAGCCGCGGTAAACATGGGTATGCATATATCTACTTGGGTGCCAGTTATGGTCTCTTTAGGGTATATTCACAGTAGTGAAATTGCTGGGTCAAATGGTATTACTATTTGCAACTTTTTGAGAAAGTGCCATACTGCCCTCCATAGTAGTTGCACCATTTTACACCCCCACCAACAGTAAATAATGGTTCCAGTTTCTCCACAACCTCGCCAACATTTGTTGTTTGCTGTTCTGTTATATTTTGCTATTCTGACTGGGGTGAGATGATATCTCATAGTTGTTTTGATTTGCATCTCTCTTAGAGCCTGAGATTTTGAACATTTCTTCGTGTACTTGTTCGCCATCTGAATGTCTTCTTTGGTGAAGTATCTGTTCATATCCTGTGCCCATTTTTCAGTTGAGTTGTTTACCTTTATCTTGTAGTGGTGGTACAGCGTTTCTTGATGGCTTTTATTCTTCGAGGTAAATAATGGTTGTTTTAATTACCAAATATTTACTTTCTTCATTTCAGCATTAATTTTTGTTCAACCTCTTCTTTCTAGATCTTTTTAAGTTTGAACTTCTATATTCCAAGGAAAAAAGTCTGTTTTTTCCCCCACCGTTTCCTTAATCCCCATGAAAGCTGTCAAAACCTAAATATTCATTGTATTTGTATCTGAGTGAATGATGTTGTTAAATGGACCACCCCCAGCTACATAAGCAGATAAGTGAGGGAATCGAAAACCCACGGAGCCAGAGACTCTTCCGGTCCATGAGTATTCCTGAGTGCTGAGTCACTCAGGTGCTTAGCAGAGCTGTGCTGACTTGTTTGTGGTGGTGGTTTACTTTCTATCATTGTTTTCCTCTAAAAGAAACCCAGGAAAAGATAACGGACATAGTTTATTCCTTGTTAGCCCTCATCGAACAAAGCAGTTTCCCTGACTAAACCTAAAGAAGATCTGACTTTATGAATCCTTTCAGTTTCTGTGTAAGGAAGTCTTGTCCTTGTCCCTACATCTGTGGTCGCCAAGCAGCAGACTTCACAGGACATCTGTAGAATGTTAATGCTGTGAAGTGTACCAGTTTGGTGAGGATCTGGTAGCTGGTTACCAGGTTAATGCATCTGGAGATGTCTCCGGCGGGGGCAAGATGTGGAAGGCAAGGCGGGGCTCAGCCACATTCCCGTATGTTTGTCTTTCTTCAGTTTTTGAATCAGAGCCGGCAGACCCTGGAAATGAAAATGGAAAACCCCACTGCTGGGGGAGCTGCACTGATGAGGCCTATGATGCAGCCCCAGGTCAACGCGCAGGTGAGCACAGTGAGTCTCCTGTTCACGTGTCCGGAGCGCCCAGCACAGGGAGCCCGTGGTTGGTCCTCAGCAAGTGTTGTTACAAGAAGCGGGAAATCCCAGGTTTCATGAGTGAGAAACACAAGCCCCATCCGCTGTTTTTCCTCCCTCCCTGCTAGTATCTAAGAGGGAGCAGCGAGAAGTGGTTCCTTCACTAAACCATGGCTTAGTAGTTTTTAAGTTAATTGCCTTTGTGATCAATTGCCATGTTGTAAGAAAAGCTATTGCTTTTTAAGAATGTAAGAGAAATGAGTCTATAAACTTCTCCCCTTTTTGTATTATAAAACCTTGTGTTCAGTGATAAAATGTTGGAATAGTGTAAAATATAAAGGAGGAAATAAGTAATACCTGGGTCCCCACATTCTGTGGGAGACTTGTCCCCCACTGTGGAAAGGTGCTACGAAAGTTGTCCTCTCCCATCAGCCAGGAGTAGAGATAGAGTTCGAAGCTCTTCCTGATACTTGTTTATACTTAACTGTTACAAAGCACACGTGTGTCCCCCCCAACACCTGTGAACTGTCCAGTTGGTACTGTCTGTGTCCACTTGGCAGTGCAGGCCCCATTTCCTTGGTCATCAGCCATCCTGGCGAGGCTGGGCTAGGACCAGTGGCCAGAGGGGGGTCCTTGGTGGCGATTTGTGCTGACTGGTGAAGCCCATGTCACCCCTTGTTGTCCTCGTCTGGTGCTGCAGTCACCTCAGTCCCTCTGCTTCCAGATAGTGTCCTGTTAGTCTCACATCCTTGCAGAACGGGCTCCTGCACAGCTGAGAGGACCCATTCTTTGTATCGTCCTTCCCTTCTGTGGCCGCGCCCTCGTGTCAGTTCTGCCCTTTTTCTTCTTGTAGCTTTTTCATAGACATGAAAAGTTTGCCCTTAGATTCTTCCTTTCAGTGTTCTCACTCAGAGCAGGGATTTCTTTTTTTCTCCCCTTTTTTTTAAATGATAAACATAATTTAATAATTGGAACGTGGAATGTACATAGTTGGGGATTTTGTTTGTTTGTTTGGATTTCCATTCGTTCATTCATTGTTGCACATTTTCCTCCCTGTTCCCCTCGCCCCCTAGTTCGCTTTTTTCTTTGGAAAGAAAGTTCTTTCTTTGTTACACAGATCTTACCACCCTCACCACGAGCACTTTACTGTGCAACTTTTATTCTGGACTTTTGTCATGCCAGTAATACCTAATCATATGTTTACAGTTCTCTCTTGTCTGTTTCAATGCAGTGTACATTATTTAGCCCCTTTTTTCCTTAGTTTCCCCCTAATCCCCATATCGGTCCTGTTCAACAGAGGCATTTTAGAGTACATGTCTTTTTGTGACCGAGATATTTCACTCTGCATAATGTCCTCCATGGTCACCCATTTTGTATAATATTTCATGAGTTCTTTTTCAGTGTTGCATAATACTCCATCGTGAATATACCAAAGCTTCTCTGTCCATTCGTTTGTTGATGGGTACTTGGGCTGTTTCCAGCTCTTTGCTATTGTGATCAAAGCCCCAATAAACACGGGTGTGCATATAGCTGCTTCGGTGGCAGTTATGGTTTCTTTAGGGTATATTCCTAGTAGTGAAATTGCTGGGTCAAATGGTATTACTATTTGCAACTTTTTGAGAAAGCACCAAACCACCTTCCACAGTGGTTGCACCATTTTACACTCCCACCAGCAGTGAATAAGGGTTCCAGTTTCTCCACAACCTCGCCAGCATATGTTGCTTGCTGTTCTGTTAAATTTTCCTATTCTTACTGGGGTGAGATGATATCTTATAGTTGTTTTGATTTGCATCTCTCTTAGAGCTAGGGGTTTTGAACATTTCTTCATATATTGGTGTGCCATCTGAATGTCTTCTTTTGTGAATGTCTTTTCATATCCTGTGCTCATTTTTCAATTGGGTTGTTTACCTTTATCTTGTTTTGGTGTTCGAATATCCTATAAATTCTAGATACAGGTCCTTTATCAGACATGTCATTACCAAATATTTTTTCCCAGTCTGTGGCTACCCTTTTTACCCTGTTGGAGAAGTTTTTGGATGTGTGTAGATTTGATTCTTAGAAGGTCCCATTCATCTGTTTTGTCCTATCCTGGTTGTAGGCAGAGCAGGGATTTCTGTGTTAAAAGCTGCTTTGATTCAGTTTGGCTCATCACTACCGAATTGTTCCTGGGTCCCTGCTCCTCAGAAATTCCAGAAATTGAGACCATGAAGAGAATTGACCACTTCCTTTTTCCTTGATTAGAAAGGAACGCACAGTGTTTCCTCTCAGTGTGGACCCTAAGGCAGGTGGGGTACTGTGTGCATGGAGCTGGCTGGCTCTGCCTTTGTGTAATTGTGCTCTTCCCCTGGTCTCAGCAAGGCTTTCTCAACGCCCAAATGGTTGCCCAGCGAAGCAGAGAGCTGCTCAGCCATCACTTCCGACAGCAGAGGGCGGCAATGATGATGCAGCAGCACCAGCAGCACCAGCAGCAGCCCCAGCCCCAGCCCCAGGCCTTTAGCCCGCCCCCCAACGTGACCGCCTCCCCCAGCATGGATGGCGTTTTGGCCGGACCCATGATGCCGCAGGCTCCGCCACAGCAGTTCCCGTACCCACCAAATTATGGTAAAGTTGAGCGGGAAAACAGCCATCCTTAAACTAACACAGTTAAGGGTGTAAGGTTCACTGGATCAGTTGTACAGTAAAGATAAACATGCATTCTACTCACTCTCTTATTAGTGGGAAGTTGGTAATCGTTGGTACAAGGAAGCGAATCCATTCAAGTAATGGAGGACTGAAATGCACAACACAGTGCACAGGCTCTGCAGCTGATGGATCAGATCATACTTGAGTATTTTTCTTAGGCCTTTCTTTTTTCCAGCTCACTGTCTCTGATTTAGAAGGACTACAAGTTTGTTTGTTCCTTCCGCTGTGTCCCAGTGTATCAGGACGTTAAAATCTTTTGGTACTTTGTGAACTTTTTTGAAAAACCGTCCCTTTTTGAGGTGTCATGGTTTTACTGTTAGCTGCAGTGGTCAGCCTTTGAGCAGTTCCAGGCATATGGGGTGAGAAGCAATCTTAACTTGGGGGAGGTTACGTTTTAGGGTACAGGCTGGCCTGGTGAGGAGAGTAGCTCTCTGCCCTCTGAAGGGGATTGTGGATGTGAGTAGAGGGCGTGGAGGCCTTTGTATACAGAAAGCCCTCGAAGCATCACTGAAGGTGGGGTAAGCACAGTGCCTTTTCACTGGGTGCCTTTCACTTCAGTTGGCATTTTGAAGAGAAACAAAAATAACTGAGAGCTTTTTGGCACTTTATGTCTTATCACCTCATCCCCTTACTGCTTTTATTCTTCTAAAAAAAAAAAACTATAGAAAATGAATATTTTGAGGTGATGTATAACATTAGTGTGTTGTTGTAACTTCCTTTTTACTTTAATTTTTTAAAAGGAATGGCCCAACAGCCTGATGCAGCCTTTGGCCGTGTGTCCAGTCCTCCCAATGCAATGATGCCATCAAGAATGGGTCCCGCCCAGAACCCCATGATGCAGCACCCTCAGGCCACACCCATGTATCAGTCCTCAGAAATGAAAGGCTGGCCATCAGGAAACCTGGCCAGGAACAGGTGAGTAGCCTTAAGAGCCGTTTGCATTCTTGTGCCACAAATTCAAGGGATGAATGCTTTTTAATTGTTTGGTCAAAAAGGTATTTGGATGGAGCAAGCAGTTGTCATTTCTGCAGTCATATTATTGTAACAGTTAAAAACATTTGGCTTTTAACCAAAAGGCCAGTGGTTTGAATCCATTAGTGGCTCACTGTTCTGGAGAAGATGGATATAAGGATGAGAGGCTTGGGAATGCTGGGGGATGTTCTGCTCTGTCCCCCACAGCTGCTGCCAGTCAGGATGGACTCTGTGGCAACAGGTTTGCAGTTCATGTTCAAGAATTGTTCTTAGACTTGTCCATTCTGTGTACGACCCTATCTGAGCACAGACAGCTGGTCACCGGGGAGTTTTTAGTGGTGGTTACTGTGGTAGGCTGTGTGTCTGTCTTGCATTGCTTAACTGAGTGATCGGCTTTGTTTTTACAGCTCCTTTTCCCAGCAGCAGTTTGCCCACCAGGGGAACCCTGGGGCATATGGTATGGTGCACATGAATGGCAGCAGTGGACACATGGGGCAGATGAATATGAGCGCCATGCCCATTCCTGGCATGCCCATGGGTCCTGACCAGGTATGAGGAGGGCTTTCCTTACCTTCTTTTATTAAAAAAAGAGGGAAAAATAAAAAGCACAAGTCTTCTTGAACTTTACAGAGAACCACAGCTGCAGTTGTGGGTTAGGTCCTAGGGAGATGCTAGAAAGAGGCTGACAAATACAATCAGAAATGAACCACCAGGAGGGGACAACATTAAGGAATGGGACCCTCTAAAGATTAAGTTCCCGTGTGCCTCAAAAACTCTTTTCAGGAGGGTGAAAAGAAAACATACTGCCAGGGAAAAATATTTGGCAATACCATCTCAGACAAGGGTCTCATAACGAAGTTACAGAATACTAGAGTTGCCACAAGAAAAAGACTGATAACCAATTACAAAATGGGCAAAAGACATGGAAAGACTTCTTACAGAGAAAAACATTCTGAGGGCCAGCCAGCCAACAGACACATGGAAAAAATGCTCAAAATCACTGGCAATAAGAGAGATGAAGATCAAAACTACAGTGAGTTACCATGTCACCCCAGTAGCGGTGGTAAAGTTTAAAAGGACAGCAAGAAATAAATATTGGAGAGGATGTGGAGTGGTTGGAATTCTCATACACTGTTGGTGAGATTGTAAAATGGTACAATGACTCTGGAAGACAGTTTGGTGTTTCTTCGAAAAGCTGAACATAGAAATTCCATATGACCCAGCTATTCCACTGCTAGGAATAAAACCTGAAGAATCTAGAACTGAGACAGAAACCAAGATTTGCACACCGATGTTCATTTCATAGCATTATTCACAGTTGCAAGAAAATGGAAACAACCCAGATGTCCTTTAGCAAATGAATAGATTGAGACATAGTGGTGCATTCACACAATGTATGCAACACTCAAGAGCAATAATTTAAAAGTTTCTACCTGGCAGAGGTGTGAAACCATTATGCTGAGTGAACTAACTTGGTCTTGTAAGGACAGATAGTGCATAGAAGGCCATTACAGAAATAGAAAGGTAACTAGGAAGATGTGTATACAAATCCAGAGGGGAAAGGGAAGGCGGGGGCAGGGACCTGGAGGGTGGGGAGGAGGGAAAGCATGAAGTCCCAGGGTTTGGTGGGTGAAGGGAGCAGGTGAAGAAATTAGGAAAGATCCAGTGGGGATTTGAAAAGATGGGGTGATCATGAGCACAGATGAAAATTGTTATCTGTTAAGAAATAAGAGAATCTTAAAAAGAAAAATCTTGCAAATTATTTTAACTTTCCAGAATTAAGTGCAAATATTCCAAATTGGGAAGTAGATTTAAACTTGATACCTGATTTGAAAATGTTGATTTAAGGGCATTGGGCTGTTAGGTAAGTTTGGTAGAAGATGAGAGACGTGAGCACTCACTCAGAGCCACACAGGAAGCTGTGAGAAGAGACACCCAGTGGTTTTCTTTTGTGCACATGATTTATGCATGTTTCTTCTGGTTTCTGACAGAAATACTGCTGACACCTCTACACCAGGCCCTCCAAGGACATCACGGTACGAATGACAACGCACTTGCATTTTCCGGGGGTAAAGGAGGCATCAGGCCTTGAGTGAAGGACCGGCTTCCATCTCTGTCAAGGGCGTTCCACGTGATGTCATTTGAGCAGGGCTGAATTTTAAGCTGAAGTGCAATATCTACCTGATTCCCTCCCTTCTCTCATGTATCATGGTCTTCAAAACAGACAGACAGACAGACAGACAGACAGACATTCTTGGTGTTCTCTTCCTGGGCCTGTGATGCTGGGAGTCCATAGAGCTTCTGCTCACGAGGCCCTGTGCCATCGCTTCTTGCCTTGTTAGCCAAAGTCTTTCACATGTGCGACAGCGGGCCAGGGAACAGCAGAGGCCACGAGCGCTGCGCAGCAGATGCTCTAGTTGCACCTTCGGACAAAGAGCAGTCCTTCTTGTCATTACGAGCTCATCCTGCGTTGGTCCTGTCTGAGTGGAATTGTCATTTCTGCAGTCTGTTCATGTTCCATTGAGCTGCTCTGTCTCTAATCTGTGTCGTCCTCAGTTTTCTCCTAATTAGAATTTTCATTGTCCCTAATGCCCTGAAATACTTCACCTCCAGGAATTATCGTTGATGTCAAGTGGCTTTGCAGAAGGGAAAATGAGAAGACAGTATTTAATTGCGACAGTAGAAAACTTTCACATGCTAATGTGCAGCCGAGTGCACTTTATTTAAGGAGTAATGGATAAATGCAATATTCCTGAGGTCTTGAGGAATGGTGAACCACATTCCTGTTTGGGTTTTTTTTTTGTTTGTTTTTTCTTTTTTTTTTGTCTGAACAAATCTGTTGGACAAGAACTGTGATTTGTTTGGAAAATACTGGTGTCACCCTTTGCCTATATGGTAGAGCAATAATGCTTTTAGACAATAAACTTCAGCAAACCCAAGGCCAGGTACTACATTCTGAATCAGAATTTCGCAGTGTTTCTGTGAATCGATTTTCTGTGTAAATATTACCTTTAAGATACTGTATCATGTAAAATATGTATATACCTCTTTTTTTTAGGTCACAACAACTCATTTTTGCAGAGTTTGTGAAGCTAAATATTTAACAATGTTGATTGCAGTAAGCTCAGTGTGGTGAGGTTACAAACGAGAGAGACCCTGGGTTTAGCAGCCTGGGGGAGGGATAGGGGTCCCCAGCTTTCCTTCCCAGCCTCCAATGCCTCCATCTCTGGCAGTCTCTTAATCTCAATGCTTTTTAGAGTGATCATTGGTTTAGATGTTGACAGTTTAAGAAAAAAAATTTTTTTTTCTTTAATTCTTTCACCAGAACGAAGCACTTTGTTCATTTTAGGGGAAGGCTAGACTGTGGTAAGCTTATTATTTTTTAATGTATCAGGAGTTAAAAAAAGTATCAAGCAATTTGAAAAACAATATGGTCCATAAATTAAGTGGTAGCAATTCATAGTTTGCTTTTAAACTTTGAGCATGTTGCCTTCTCCCCATTTGGGGAGTGCATCAAAGTTTAGGCCGCTAGGACCTGAACCCCACGCTTGAGCTCTTGAGTAGATGCCTCCGTGGGTGGATTCTTGTGTTTGTCCGACTGTCCTTTCTCCACTGTTGTGCTGCTTTCGTCCATCCCTGTGGGATAGAAGTGTGCCAGACAGCCTTCTTCCTACAGCTCTCAGAACACCAGCTTCATGCCCTTATCCTGTCCGTCTGCCTATCTTCCCACCCTTCCCTGCCACTTCCTGCTGTTTCTTGGTGGCCCCACCAGTAATCATTGTGGAGCAAGGAAACATTCAAGCTTGTCTTCCTTGGATTACTTACGCAGTTCAAACAACTAAATGAAATTGGGACTTTGGAGTATTATTTCTGGATTTTAAATGCCTGTGCTAGCTTTAGTGTCATTTTCTAGCAATAACTGAGAGCCAGTTAGTTTCCCCCCACCTTTTTTGTTTTAATTTGGGAGATGTTCAGCCAATATTCCTAGAAGTCTCTGAAGATAAGATCATTTTACTTGGTTCTGAGTACATATATTTTATTCTCCTGGCGGTGTGTATACCTACAAGTTCACCCCTTCTACTCCTCCCTCCTCTTAAGGTTAAAATGAGATTTCAGATTTTAAGTCCATCACCTTCCATCACCATGGCCTGTACCTTTCAGACAACACTTTCTGTCTTTGTCAGAAGACAGAGGCAAAGCTGAGGAGTCATCTCTGTCTTTCCTGACAATTGTATTATGTGTGTCTGACCCTTCTTTAAAGAGTGTGTGTGTGTGTGTGTGTGTGTGTACAGAAACAGAATGGTGCTTTTACCTTGACTTTTAAAAAATAATTAAACACACAAAAAAATCCCCCAAATAGGTTTTGTAGTATTTTTCCCCTTTGATCCTGACTCCAGGCTCTGGGGAAGGCAGCACCTTTTATATGGACACATGAACCTTAGTGTGCGTTTTTATCTTTCTTACTCACTCGTTTTATTGATGCACACTTAAGGCTTTGACTTTCGTTTAACAGATGAGATCTTTGCAGTAATTTGTTTTTACCTTTATTGCTCTTTTCTCTTTTTTGACTAATTCTCTTTGTAGTCTCACTGCCTACCCTCCTTCCCACTCTTACCATTTTTCTAAACCTTAGTATCTGTTGGGTGAACAATTTAAGTAATCTTTTCATCTGCATTTAGAATGCAAATATTTCCAGTAATTACTTTTTGCTGAATCCAAAGAAATATAAATATATATTTTATAAATTAAAGTGATAGAAAGGAGAGATGTGGTTATTCCTTCGAAAAACAAATAGCAATTACATTGTTAATATTCAGATTATGTTGCCACTTTTCTAAATTGTGCATCTGGATTGAAAGGTTTAATTATCAGTAAACAGTCCTCTTTACTTTATTAGTATTTACTATCTGAGGTGCACTGGGGGGGTCTGACGGGGTAGGAGATAACTGGCCAGCGGTCCTAGAATGTATTTGGTCTAGTTGTATCTTCAGAATGGATTGCCATTTACCTGTACACCTGTCCATCCTCCCCCTTCCCGAAGCCATGACTTTTGATCCCAAGTGGGAGATTTCACTGGAGCAGAACCTTTGGGATGGGTGAAAACGTCCCTGCAAAGGAGCAAGAGCTGTTCTCCAGCTTCAAGACAAACAGTTTCATTTTGAGCAAAGTGTTTTCTTTCTCTGTGTGTCTCTAAAATAGGAGAGTTTGAAGCAGATGGAAATGTCATTCTGAGAGCAATATTTAAATCTCAGGAACTGACTTGTAGTAGAATGAAATCAGTTCAATCAAGTTTACATTAAGTGTTGCTTTAAAAAAAAGTCTCAATCATTCTTTACATTGCAAAGACGGCTCCATATCATGTGGGCTAACTTACGAGACAGTGGGTGGTAAGCTCTGACTGCTTTGCTGGTCATTTTGGATGTCATTGTAAATAAAGGTTTTTATTTAAAATTAGAACCTAAGAGCTTGCTTGCCTTTTTTTTTAAAATGAAATCTGTAGGGTTAAGGGTAAACTGTTACTTCAGATAACAATACCGGCTTGTTTGGGACACTGG